GTGAGTGAAAAGGTTTTGTTTACATGTCATTGTCCATCAGCTGATCCCGTCTTGGAAGGAACTGCCCCGACCTTTTGGCTTTCTCCTTTTCTCGCCTCTTTCTCGCCTTTTTCTCCCCTTTTCTCCCCTTTTCTCCCCTTTTTCTCGCCTTTTTTCGCCTTTTTCTCGCCTTTTTCTCCTCTTTTTCTCCCCTTTTTCTCGCCTTTTTCTCGCCCTTTTCTCCCCTTTTTCTCCTCTTTTCTCCCCTTTTTCTCCCCTCTTTCTCCTCTTTTTCTCCTCTTTTTCTCCTCCTTTTCTCCCCTTTTTCTCCCCTTTTTCTCCTTGTTTTCTCCTCTTTTCTCCCCTTTTTCTCCCCTTTTTCTCCTTGTTTTCTCCTCTTTTCTCCCCTTTTTCTCCCCCTTTCTCGCCTGGGTGAATTTTTTATGGGGGGCTCTTAGTCTTGGAATGAAGCCTTATGTTATATGTTTTCGTTTTTTTTTTCTCTCTCTCCTTGTAGTGGGAGATAAGGGATGGGTTTATATTTTAGTTGTCTTGCTTATTCTTTTTAAATCTTCACTATTTCGGGATTGAACTTTTTAAGGACTTAGATTTGCTGTATTTATTGACTTGTGGATTTAATTATGATGGATAATTATCAGTTTTAGGTTCAGTTGTAATGGATATGTAATGGGTGTATTTCTTTTTGTGGTCTTTATTAGTAGAAGATGTAGAAAAAAAGTTAACACCCTCTGAGGCGCTGGATATCACTTGCATTTTTCAAAAATTTACATTTAGCTGGCAGACGATCAGCAAATTTTGAACTTGAATGAGTTTTGAACGGTATTTGAGCAGCATTGTGCGGTCACGTTAGTATGTAACGTTTAACCACCTGCTACGGAATTGGCAAAAACTCTCCTCTCAGATCTTTCTCGGCATAATCGTGAATCTGAGTTTACAAGATACCCTCTCGTCTCTCACTGAAATTAGTATCTTTGGAGCTGTAGCCTGAAAGATAAACCTCCCTGGTGTACGTTTTAGTAAGATAGAACCTGTGGATGTCTTTAGCAAATTCTATCGTGTCAGAAAATAAGTGATGGTAATTTTTTTTTACCTCTGCTGAAGAACCGAAGATGATGCTGCTGTGATTACTTGATACTGTATTACAATGGTTTAGCCTAAAGATTGCACAGCTAACATAATTGTAGGGAAAAAATATCAATTAAAGGCCATGGTGGATGTTTTGTAGGTGTGTACATTAGTTTTTGATAAAAACTAATTAGTTAAGAGATCTTATAGTGCTCTAGTCTGATAGGCTGTGGGTGAGTTTGCATTTTTCACACTTTACTACCTTGAATTTAGACAAAAAAATTTTTTGTTGATTTTATGTAATTTATATATAATGGTTAAATAGATAAAAGTCTCCTAAAAGTGAACCCAACCAATTGTAAAGGAGCACAACCTAAGCAGGTCAGATCTCATGAAACCTATCCATATTATTATTATTATTATTATTATTATTATTATTATTATTTATATATATATTTTTTTGGTATATTTGAATAATTTTTATGTAATGTACTCTAGCCTAGTCAGATTTAACCAGAAATGAGCTGAACAGAATGGAACCCGTTTTTTTTTTTTTGTCAATTTAGTACGACTGTGATTAGAATTGATTCAGCGTTGATAATTGTCGCAAACCAATAGTTTTTGAGTAATACCTTCCCCTCCCCATCCAGCAGATATGAGTTTTTATTTTATTTGTTTATTTATTATTATAATTTATTTTTTTATTGGGTGGGGGAATGGACGTAAAGCATATGATATACAGTTGATTTCTGCTTAGTATAAGCAATGACATAAAAGGTTAACAAACATCCTCTCTGTATAATCTGCAGGATTTAGAATTTTTCTTTTTAATGACAAACCTTTTTTGGGTGCATTGTCAGTATGAAGGTTGTATTGTAACTCATATAGCAGATGCACAGATTTTTATAAACGGCATTAACCTTTCATTGCCAGTGCCAGAACTTTCTGTGTCACTCATTCAGGTAACATCTGGCAGCCTTTTGGCCGGGGAGTTCACTGCATGTAGTGGAATTTCCTACTCGACTTGCTTTAGCATGTTGTGTCCCCTATAGCCGTACCTGTTATGATGAGTTGTTTTTTTATGATGGCTATAGGCATGCACAGCTATAAGAGGGTAAACTATAAAATCTCAAGGTAATTAAAATGATAAGCAATATGAAGCCATTCTGTTTATTTCATGATATTCAAGTGAATATTTTGAGGTATTTCATTATGTTCCATATAATAAAAAGTAGGAAAACAATCTTATGTATGGGAGCAGTGGCTTGTTGATTATTGTCTGCAGATGAATTAAACATCAAGGTATTGTTTTCCACTGATATGGCTATTTTCCATAAAGTGCATATCTGCTGAAACATAGAAGCATTAGTTAGTTGTGAATGATAAAGGCAGATGGAACCACTGTGGGTGTTATATTTCTATCATAAATGTTTTGATGTCCTAGATGAAAATTGTCCTGGATTTCATCTGACTACTCGTTTTTTTTATACTGCCTCATATGTGGGTAATGCCACTTATATAGAGGATAATAGCATGAAACATGTCTTTTTTATTTATGTTTGTAGCATTAAGAAATGTTCAATCTTTACTTAAGAATTGCTGCTGGAACAGGTCTGTGGGCATGTTGTCAATTAATAGTTGAATGTCTAAAATTACAACTTATTTAATTATAACATATATGTTATCACTTTAATATCACCATTTAGGTCCCCAACTATCCTGTATATCAAGGGAAATGTGGGAAATGAGTATCTGTTTTCAGTCAAGGATAAGTTAGAGAATTTGATAAATTTGACTCAGATTAGAGAAAAGTCAGGAGGTTTCACCAGCCCCAAGGAGATATTGGCGTGTCATATATTTTGTCGTGTCAAAACAGGATATCGGCCAGATAACTGAGTATAGTGGATTTACATATGGTGTGGAAATCCCACTGAAGCCCTCTGTTGTGTATGTAATGTAATCCTGTAACTCTAAACACTGATTTGCATAAATGTCAGAAGCGATTAGTGCCTGTTGCTTTCCTGTTTCTCCTATTTTGCCATTTGCCATTGTCATTCTTTGTTGATATGTGACACTGGGAGCATTGTTTCATCTTATTAACTGAAGGTATGGAAAATCTAGATACGTCAAAATGATAATCCTGGAATTTTGGAAAATCATCAGGGAAGTGTTTAGGACAGTTAAGAACTTTTTTCTTTTCTTGAATTTCTGGGGATCCTGAAGTTGGATTTGAAGATTTGGCAAAGTTCTTCTGCAATTACTTGGCTAGTTCAAATTTTTACAGAAAATAATGTAAGAGTATAACTCCAGAATAATTGATGTTAAAGAAAAGTATATAGATAAGGAATGTACAACAAAGGCAGTTATTATAGTTTAAATGTTACACAAAAACACACACACAAACACACATATATATGTATATATATGTATATATATGTATATATATGTATATATATGTATATATATGTATATATATGTATATATATGTATATATATGTATATATATGTATATATATGTATATATATGTATATATATGTATATATATGTATATATATGTATACATATGTATACATATGTATATATATGTATATATATGTATATATATGTATATATATGTATATATATGTATATATATGTATATATATGTATATATATGTATATATATGAATATATATGTATATATATGTATATATATGTATATATATATATATATATATATATATATATATATATATATATATATATATGTATATATATGTATATGTACAAATTTACAATTTAAATGTTACACAAACATACATACACACAAACATATGTCTATATATGTCTATATGTCTATATGTCTATATGTCTATATATATATAAAATATATATATATATATATATATATATATATATATATATATATATATATATATATATATATATATGTATATATATATCTATCTAACTATCTATCTATTTATCTATATATGTATATATATAATGTATATATATATGTGTATATATATATGTATATGAATATGTGTATGTACATAAATGTATGTATGTATATAAATATAATTATAAATATATATTATACATGTATATTATATATGTATATTGTATATATATTATCTATATTAATTTATACATATATATGTATATTTTATATATTATATATGTATTACATATATTATATGTCTTATATATATTATATATATATATATATATATATCATATTAATGTTATATACATTAGAAAAAAAAATGTATATTATATATATATTTTATACATATTATATATTTTTTATATATGTATTACATATTATATGTGTATTATATATTATGGATATAGTATATCATATATATTATATTTATATATATATGTATATATATATATATATATATATATATATATATATATATATATATATATATATATATATATATATATATATTATATTATATATTATATATTATATTATATATTATATATTATTTATATATATATTATATATATTATTTATATATATATATATATATATATATATATATATATATATATATATATATATATATATATATATATATATATTATATATTATATATTATATATTATATATATTATATATATTATATATATTATATATATTATATATATTATATATATTATATATATTATATATATTATATATATTATATATATTATATATTATATATATATATATATATATATATATATATATATATATATTATATATATTATATATTATATATATATATATATATATATATATATATATATATATATATATATATATATATATATATATATATATATATATATATATGTTATATATATATTATATATATATTATATATATATTATATATATGTTATATATATATTATATATATATTATATATATATTATATATATATTATATATATATT